CCATCGTGAGTTTGGGCACCTCTGATATGAACTTGTGGCAAAGGTGGGCATATAGGGTTGAGTGTAGGCTGTGGACTGCCCCCTTCCCCACCACACCAGGAACGCAGAAGTTAATTCTGATGGCAGTTAGGGAAAGCTTCAAGGGGAGGGCGTATCTTCACTGAGTTTCGAAAGCTGAGTTGGGTCATGGAAAGAGGGAGGCATTCCAGGCAAAGAGGCTGGTCAGGGGATGGATAAGTCTGCAGCCCACAGTGTATGTTACTGGCAGGAGAAGGCTTGGGAGCCTAGGTCATCTTCCTGGGGAGGCGCCTGCCCGGGAAGGGTTAACCCCAGAGCCACTCAGGTCCTGTCCACTCAACTTCCACCTCCGTCCTCTGAGGAAATGGGTTTTCCAGGGGCCTGGACTGGGCCAGCAGTGACTCGTGGCCCTATATGGATGGCAGAGGAAGTGAGTCAGGCCTCGAGGGAGAAAGTGGTCCTGGTCCCCTGCCCGTTACCCTCTCCCCCACCATGAGGATGGGCAGGGCTGGGCCCACACTGGAACTGGGGTTATCTCCTCCTGGGCCCAGCCATCCTGGGGGATGGGTAGCCGGGAGTCTTAGCTTAGATGAGACCTGCCCCCTCCACCACCCCTCTCCCCGGCTCTGCCTGGATCCTTGGGGACTCTGTGATAGTGGCCCCCATTGTGTCAAACTGGGCCGGATTGTTTTGTTCTCTAAGTGTGTTTACGGAAGGCCTGAGGTCAAGGGCAGCTGCTCTAGAAGGAACAGGGTGGGGGGTGTAGGGGCCTCTCTTGGGGGCTTGGCCCCCTAAATTCTCTCTCTCTAAGGCTGGAGTTGCCTGCACAGCTTGTGGTCTTGGCTGTCACCCACCCACCATATCTCTCTCCTTTTGTTTGGGGGTCTCCCCAAACCAGAGGAGCAAGCATCTCTGGAAACTATTGGCTCCAGCTCTCCAAGGAGTTCTCTAGAATAACACTGAGGTCCATGTCTTAGCTCCACCAGTGGGGAATCTTAGGACAGATAGCCCTGCCCTAGTCTCTGTTTTCTCATCTGTAAAATGGCAAAGCAGCAGGACCAGCCTCACAGGATGGCTCTGAGGATTTCATGAGAGCGTGGATGGTGCCCCTGTCCAGCCCTCCTGTCTCTCAGAGGCTTCTGGGGACAGGCTCAGGTCCGTGCTGTGAGGTGGGAAGTTTTCTGGGTGGGGTTTCAGGCTTCCCAGAAAGGAAATTTCATGCTCGAAGAATTTCCAGTCAAGGCGCTTTGGAAGTTGAGCTGGCTGTGGGGGCCCCGAGGGGGTGACGTGGAGGGTGGGAGGGAAGGTGTAGGAGTCGGGACCTGTGATGGGCCCAGGGGGTTGGGTGAGGGGCAGGCGTGAGCTGGCCGGGAAGGATGCAGAGGTATTTGGCCGACAGCGATGGCACCTGCCGTGTGCATGCTCCTGCTCTAAATCCTCCATGGATATCAATTCATTTAATTTCACAATGACCCTTGCGGCAGTCTTCATTTTTATTCCTATTGACAGATGACAAAAGTGGGGCCCAGAGAAGGTGAGTAACTAGTCCAGAGACACACAGCCATTGAGTAGAGGAACTGAGATTTAAACCCAGACAGCCTGGCTCCAGAGTCAACTCTACTAAGGATGGGTTAAAAGAAACCAGGAAGCCCCTCCCCCTCAAATTCCAAGAAAGTCTATGAGGCTAGAGTTGTTCACCTTGGAGTGGCTATTCAAGCAGCCAGGGTAGAGTGGGGATGACTCAGGAATGTCAGAGCATGCCATTGATCCCTATCTGTTGGAATCATGGCATTTCACAAGTGCAGCCTCACTTGTATCCTTCTGGTGATGGGAAGCTCATTCTCTCTTTCTGTTTTTTCGTTCTCAAAGAGATCAGTCCAGGAAGATAAATGAAAACAGATGACTCTTCCCTGTCCTGGGCACTGTTTACTGATAGTGGTAACTCACTTTGAAAGTCAGTGGGCTGGAGAGATACTTGGATTCTGGTCAGCTCCATCCTTGCTTGCTGTGTGAGGTCAGGGAATCACTGGCCACTCTGGGCCTTGAATGCAAATGCCATAATGAAGAACTGGGGCCATATTTGCAAAGTGATCTGTGAACTCTGAGTTCACAAGTATAAAGCAGAAGTCAAAATAGGGGTTGGGGAGTTGCCTGGAGGAGATGTCATTTGTACTGGGGATCAGGTATAGACAGTGACAGGGACTGGCAGAAAGGAAAAGGAAAGAGAAGGGGTCCAAGAGACATACTTCTGTCCTCAGATGCTGGGTTTCCTTCTACTGTTCTAGGGTGACAGTTTCAAAAGGAGCCAAAACGGGAGACACTGCTTTAGAAAGATCCTCAGCATTCTCCTCACTTCAAGTAATAAATCCTTCATTCCCCCTAAAAATAAAAACGAAAACACCAAAACCCAAAATGAACCAAAATGCTCAGAAAGGATGTAGAGTGAAACCTTAAAGATCACAATTTAGGAAATAGCAGCCATTCCCCCAAAGACTTTCACTTCTTTCTTCTCTGGGGTCTTGTGATGTCACCAGGGCAGGGTGATGAACCCAGTTGACCAATGATTAGACCGACCAGACCCAAGAAATTAGGGTTCTGTTATATATGTTGGGATACTGGAGACTGGCTTGAGGGGGCCAGGTTTGTTCAGTGAATTCCTGCCTGGGCCACCCCTTCATTTAATGCTGCCCTCAAATAGTCCATCCAAAAGTCACTTCCTCCTGGAAGCCCTCCTGGGTTCCCCCAAATCAAACTCTTCACATGCCCCATGGATGCCAGGCTTCCTTTTGTCTGGCTTGTGGCAAATGACTGCATCTGTCACCAGAGACATATGCAGCTGCCCACAGGATGAGGGTGTCTGTTCGTGATTCCCAGCACCCAGCTCAGTCACTGGGCCAGATGGCCGTGGGGTGGGCCAAGCCACCCGGCCTCTCTCTCTAAGTACCAGGCACGCAGGTTCCCTGCCAGGCACTACAGTGCTGATCAGGCAGGGAAAGCCCTTGGCCTCCGGAGCAATTAAATGGGCAAGTCATTTAATTCCTTGGATCTCAGGTTCCCTATCTGTGAAATGGGTCAAATGGTAGGGCCTATTTCACAGGGTTGGAATGAAGATTAGCATAGGGGTAGGGGTGAGGAAGCTGGGTTCGCACAGGCTGGCAGATAGTGGGTACTCAGCTAACAGAGGCTGGAGGAGTGACCCATTCTACTCCAGGAGAGGGCTGAGGGGAGCTGGATCCTCCGCAGCTTGGACCATACTGTTTCTCTCTGCCAGACTGGGACGTCCCTCTGCCTTTCCAGTTGCCTTGGGAACTGGCTCCCCCTGGTGGCCACACCAGGAAGTGCCTTTCTCCTCCAGCCCCTGTAGAGGGCGCTGTGACCGCACTGAGCCTTCACTCCAATTCCCCCTGCGGCCCGGCGGCCCAGTAACCTCTGTGAACACCAGGGCCTGTGCACAGCGATGGATCAGGAGCTCCGTGTGGAGGAGGGATGCACCGTCCTGTAACTCCCAGAGCTGGCTAACAGGAGACCCTGGCTGAAGGCGGGATCCAAAGGAGTCCAGGACTGACGGTAGAGGGCGTTGAGGAAGATTTCAGTAAGGAGATGTCCTCTGAGCCGGGTCTTAGGGATGATCATGGTGAGATTCCTGGAGGAGAACCCTGAGAGCATCCTTTTTCTTGTGTCTTCTGAAGGCCTGGAGGGGGCAGGGTGGGGTGATTCCTGGTGATGCTATGGAGCTTCCCCCCACAAATTCTACCCTGATTACCCCATCACTGCTGGGTTGGAAGAGAGGTACTATTATTAGTCCTGTTTTCCCTGACTTACACAGGGTTATGCAGCAAGCTAGAGTTGGAGCTGGGACTTGAATTCAGTCACTGCCTTTTTTTTTTAATTAAAAAAAATTTCATTTTAAAATTTATTTTATTGAAGAATAGTTGATTTACAACATTGTGTTAATACTGCTTATAGCAAAATGATTCAGTTATATAATACATATATATTCTTTTTCATGTTCTTTTCCATTATGGTTGATCACAGGATATTGAATATAGTTCCCCATGCTATACACTAGGACCTTGTTTTTTATCTATTCTGTATGCAATAGTTTGTATCTTCTAACCCCAAACTCCCAATCTATCCCTCCCCCACCCCCCTACCTCTTGGCCATCACAAGTCTGTTCTCTATGTCTGTGAGTCTGTTTCTGTCTTCTAGATGTGTTCATTGGTGTCATATTTTAGCTTTCACATATAACATATACTATATTTGACTTTCCGTGACTTGCTTCATGTAGTGTGGTAATCTTTAGGTCCATTCATGTTGCTGCAAGTAGCATTATTTCATCCTTTTTTATGGCCAAGTAGGATTTCATTGCATATGTGTACACATCTTTATTCATTCTTCTGTTGATGGACATGTTGGTTGTTTCCATGTTTTGGCTATTGTGAACAGTGCTGCTATGAACCTATGGGTGCATGTATCTTTTTGAATTATAGTTTTGTCCAGATATATGCCCAGGAATGGGATTACTGGATAAGATGACAACTCTATTTTTAATTTTCTGAGGAATTTCCACACTGTTCTTCATAGTGGCTGCACCATTTTACATTGCCACCAACAGTGTAGGAGGGTTCCCTTTTCTTCACCCCTTCTCCAGCATTTGCTCTTTGTAGGCTTCTTAATGATGGCCATTCTGACCAGTGTGAGATGATACCTCATTGTAGTTTTGATTTCCATTTCTCTAGTAATTAGTAATGCAGAACATCTTTTCACATGCCTATTCATCTGCATGTCATCTGCATGTCTTCTTTCAGCCACTGCCTCCTGATTCTCCACTCCTGGCAGCTCTGGGGGAGGTCCACAGGCTGTTGCCAACGTGCCTCCCTGCCTCTCATCCCATGACCATGCTACCCTGGTTTGTCCCTCTATGGGACTGGTAGTCACCCTGGGGGTCAGGACCTTAGCTAACACTCCTGGCTTCTTTCAGGCGGTGATGTCTCGAGTGCCTTGGGGGAAGAAGATGACTGCCCAAGTGCTGCTGCAGATGCCGCTGTTCCTGCTAGGTATCCTGCTGCTTCCAGGTAGGTTTTCCTGGAGGTGCCCTGGGACTTCTGTTAAAATGCCATCCTTGTGTTAAAGACCAGCACATCCACTAACCGCTTTGGGCAGGCACAAGCCTGCAAATACAGCTTAGCAAGTAGACGGTACCTTGGAGAAAAGATTAAGGCTCCTCTTCTTTCTGTCAAATGCAGCCCCCCAGTACACAGCTTGGGGTGCATTTTGGCCCCACTCATCTCTGCAGCCAGAGAACCCTTGTGCAGTGCACAGCCTGCACCACTGTCTGTAGCAGGCATGGCCTTGTGAAGTATTTTATTGCTATTTAAAATATTATTTTGCCTTTGAAATTTTTTTCTTTCTTTCTTTTTTTTCTTCTGATTTTGAGTTTGTTCTTTTCCAATTTTGAAGCCAACCATCTTGGAGCAGGGTGGATTCATATTTTTGGAGACCCTTTGAAGTATAGGTCCTTGGAATGTGAGTGGGTCCCAGGCACTGGGCCCCTGTGTTCTGGGCCCAGGGCCTGCCTCCAGCCCAGAGTCCCATCTGCAGTCTCTGCCCCCTCAGGTGCCCATGGCGAGGGCCCCCGGGAAGACTTCCGCTTCTGCGGCCAGCGGAACCAGACGCATAACAGCAGCCTCCATTATAAGCAGGTGTCCCAGCTCCACATCTCCATCAGGAACTCTGAGGAGGCCCTCATCATCCATGCCCCCTTCCCTGGAGTCCACCCGGCTTCTTGGCCGTTCCCTCCACCCAGGGGCCTCTACCATTTCTGCCTCTACTGGAACCGCCATGCGGGGAAACTGCATCTTCGCTACGGCAAGAAAGACTTCGTGCTGAGTGACCAAGCCCCTGACCTCCTGTGCTTCCGGCATCAGGAGGAGACCCTGGCCCCGGGGCCCCCACTGTTTGCCACCTCTGTCAGCTCCTGGTGGAGCCCCCAGAACACGAGTCTGCCCAGCGCGGCCAGCTTCATCTTCTCCTTCCACAGTAAGGCGACTTCCAGGCAGAAGGAAGGGCTTGGCCCAAGGCCTGGAAATGGGGAAGGCAAAATGCACGGGGGCTGGGAAGGGGGGCTTAAAGTGGTCTGGGCTGCATGTCAGGTCATGGAGTTGGGGGGCTCTGTTCACAGGCAGTGGGGACTCAGGGAAGGTGTCTGAGGAGAGGAAGGACTGTCAGGCAAGGTGTGTTTGTGGGAAGACAGGGGTGAGGGAGGAGGGTGAAGTCCCGTCCCGCGGCTGCAGCGTAGGTCCAGGTAAAGCAAGATGAGAGATGAACAGGGTGGGAGCAGAGAGAATGGAGAGATGGGGCTAGAGGTCTGGAGCCGGAGGAAACATTCTGCTTAATCAGCCTCATCTAGACTGCTTATCCCCATTTCACAGAGGAGAAACTGAGGCTCAGAGAGGCCCAAAGTTGCAAGAGTAACGAGTAAGAGAGGGAGTTAGATTGGCATGGGGCCGCAGGACAGGAAGAGAGGTCAAAGGTCAGGAAGCGGCAAGGCTGGAGGCCGACACTGAGGTCTGCAGACTGAGTCTTCTGGCTGAGATGTGACAGCTGTGGCCTGGCCACTGCCTTCTATTCAGTGCGGGATGGAGGCAGGGAGCAGGGGCTGGCCAGAAGGAGCCAGAGGCTTTACTTTGGGTCCAGGATTTCCCTGATTCTGGTTCCTTTCAGGCAGCTCCAGTTTGGGGCAAGGCTCCCAAGGGAGGGGACACAGGGCTTTGAATATGTTAGCATCTCCAGGCCCATGGAAATGCTACGGGGTGGGGGGGAGGTGGGGAGAGGGATGGAAGGGGCAGAGCTGGGGCAGGTGGGGGCAGGTAGATGGGGATCCCTGTCCCCAGGCCCGGATTCTGCCCCAACCTGGGAGGGTTTAGGGCAAAGTCAGGAACAGCTGCAAACTAACCTCCTGAAGAGGAGATCTGGCCTGGTCTTACTTGGTCTGTAGAGAGTTTTTGGAAAACATGAGCCAGGGTTTTCAAATGACTGAAAAATCAGGCTTTCTGCCTTAAAAATTCAGATGTGACCACAGGGCCTGCCTTATTTGATGGCATAGGGCCTGCTCCCTCCCCCATATCCCTATTTCCATCTGCCTGCTTCATCAGAGTTCCATCTAACCCCTGGAGATGCCTGAGTCTGTGGCCCTTGGGTGCAGGGTAGCCCAGGGAAGGCCCTGGAGCCACCACAGAAGCCCCCCACCCCCCAGCTCCTCCTGAAGGAGGCCTGGCTGGTCCCGAGGAACTGGCCCTCCCAGCTGCCTCTGTGTGGTCAGAAGGATGCCTGGGGTAGGGTTAGGGGTGGTCTAGCCCACCCTGCTGGGGCTGGAGTTGCTGCGGGCACTGTATGACAGAGCCCCATCTGGCTGGCTACATCTCTGAGTGACCTGGGGGAGTCTACCCCACTACTTGGAGCCTCAGTTTCCTGTTCTGTAAAATGGGGACAGAAGCTGTCAGAGTCACAGGGGGAGTAATTGAGAGTGTGATGAGTGTGGCCTGGGTTGAATGAGTGGAACCCCATTCCACAGCCTTTGGTGGGTCTGTCCGTCCCTCTCCCCAGATCCCCCTCACAAGGCCTCCCACAATGCCTCGGTGAACATATGTGAGCTGAAAAGGGACCTCCAGCGGCTCAGCCAGTTCCTGAAGCATCCCAGCAAGACCTCAAGGAGGCCCCCCTTCACCCCCATGGGCCAGTAAGTGTGGGTCCGCAGCATGTGAGGGCTGAGGAGGAGGCTCCCCCAGACCCGGGCCTGGCAGGGATTTGGAGTGAGAGACCATGGAGACCTCCCCTTGGTCTCCATCTCGATTCAGTCCCACAGGCCAAGACCCCTCACCTGCCTGTATCAGGAAAAAAAAAAAGTCTCTCTTATTAGCACCCAAGCCCTCCTCTCCACCAATAAGGGAAAAGGATTGACCCATTTTACAGCTCAGCAGACTGAGGCCCAGAGATGGGTAGGGCTGCCCGGCGGTGCAAAGTAGGTCGGTCCAGGCAGAACTGGGCCCAGAACCTGGTGGCTGAGTCTGAGGCCCACTCCTTTCCTGTTTGCGCTGAGGCCCCGGTTTCCTCCGCATCACCCCCACAGGTCATTCTGTCGGGCCCCACACTCTTTCCTGTGTATCAGCCTGAGTTGCCTCTCTGCTCACTCTGTCTTCCTGCCGGCTGGCCTACCTGGATCCCCCCTTCACTCCCAGCAAGTCATCCCCTCCTCTCTCCCCCCTGCTTCCAGGCAGCTGCAGAGCCTGGAGTCGAAGCTGGCCTCTGTGAACTTCACAGGGGACGCCGTGTCCTTCGAGGAGGAGCGGGTCAACGCCACAGTGTGGAAGCTCCAGCCTGACTTCAGTCCACAGGACCTGCACATCCACTCCCCGCGGGAGGTCAGGGGTCAGGATCGGTAGCCAGGGCAGGAAGCAGATGTGCAGGCTGTGAGCGCTCTTTCCCCCCACCCCTCAAACCCCCACCCCTGGCCTCTGGGAGCCAGATGTGTGCTGATGAGGAAGGCCTCAGGCCCAGAGAGTCAGGCCCAGACCAGTAGCATTGAGGACCCTTCAGGTCACAGCAGTGGGGACAGAACAGGCAGGGACCTGGGCCCCGCCCCAGGGGCTCCTGGGACACATCCCTGTGGACCGACAACCGGTGCCAAAAGGCCTGTGCCTTGATGGGCCTGGTTGCGGGGAGGGACGGCCACCCCCCCCCCCCACCCTCCATATCCCCCAGCACACCACGGGGCCATAGGCAGGGTCAGTGTCTGACACCCAGACACCAGAATACCACATGATTCTCCCAGGCTCTTATCCCCTGGGAGGGGGATAAGGCTCCCCAGCCAGCCCCGGTTGCCAAGGAAAGGAGGAGTGAGCGGGGTTGTTGTGAGTCTGACTTCGTGAAGGAGGTGGGCTTAGAGGTGGCAGCATGCAGGAAGGCGTGTGCTTGGGGGACATGGCAGGGTCCTGGAAGCCCACTTCTTGCTGAGCCTCAGTGGGTCCTCTGGTCTGCAGGAGGAGCAGAGCGGGATCCTGGAGTACTCGGTGCTGCTGCCTGGCGTGCTCTTCCAGAAGAGCAAGGGCAGGAGGCAGGAGGCCGAGAAGAGACTCCTCTTGGTGGACTTCAGCAGCCAAGCTCTGTTCCAGGTAGGGGTGGTGGTCCTTGTGGCCTCCCTTGGGGAAAGCAGCTTCTGTCTGACAGAGAGAGGGAAGGTAGGCATGGAAGGTAGCCCTCTCCTCCAAGAGTCCATGTAAAGTCAGAAATCAGATGGCAACGTGCATGAGCTTTAGAGCTGGGAAAGGCCTAAATGCTGTCATTCTTACTATGGTGTAAATGACTACCTATGCAAGAACTGTTTCCAGAGGGAGACTCAAAATCTGGGAGCAATGTACTGGGCAGAGACAAGAGTGTACTCTTCTTCTCAGTCCTGAGCCCCCTCTCCCCACCTCCTCCATACCCCACTTATCTAGGACAAGAACTCCAGCCAAGTCTTGGGAGAGAAGGTCTTGGGTATTGTTGTGCAGAACACCAAAGTAGCCAACCTCTCGAAGCCCGTGGTGCTCACCTTCCAGCACCAGCCACAGCCGGTGAGTGTGAGCCAAGCAACCCAGGGAAAAAGGGTCCCTGTTTGCCCATGTCCTCCTGTCCCTCCTCTTTTCTGAACTACTCGCCTTTAGCAAACTGGTTGACTGGCTGAGGGCATTGGCCAGTCAGGTCAAAATAGGGTGGGGCCCTGGCACAGGCTCCCTGGGCCTGGCTGGAAAGGAGTAGACTGTCACAGGGCTCACCCCTTCTTTCTTGTCCCTACAGAAGAATGTGACTCTGCAATGTGTATTCTGGGTTGAAGACCTGACATGTGAGTGTGGAGGGGGCTCTGAGCTGGGCAGGTACCTGGAGGCAGGTAGTTGGGGTCCTAGAGGGTGGGGTAGATGGAGTTAATCAAAGAGGGCTTCCTGGAGGAAGGTGGCTTTGAAGAGGGAGTGATGGCAAGTTAGGGACCTGATGAGGGAAGCAAAAACTCAGAAGGGGGATGCAGTCATGCATTTGTGGGGTACTGGGGGTGACAGTGGGGGTGCTGAGCTTGATCTCAGAGCCTCATGCTGGCCTTTCCTCAGCGAGCAGTCCAGGGAGCTGGAGTGATGTGGGGTGTGAGACCATCAGGAAAGAGACACAGACATCCTGCCACTGCAACCACCTGACCTACTTTGCAGTGCTGATGGTACGTGACCCCCTCCTGCCCCACTGCCGCCACTTCTCATATATATGTCGTTCATTCCTCACAACAAGCCTCAAGATGACTCTTGTTGTTGTCCTGTTTTATCGATAAGGAAACTGAGGCTCAGAGAGGTTAGGCAATTTACCCAAGGTCACACAGCTAGTAGTAAGTAAAAGGTCTTTGAAGTCCTTGCTCTTTATCCCCAAATTTGGGTGCCTGATACAAACGCAGGTTCCAGGTCCTAACCTAGAATTCTGATTCTAAAGGGCTGGGGTGGGGGCAGGACTGTGTTTCTATAGAACCTTCCAGGGGATGCTGAGGCCTAATGCAGAGGCCCTTGCGGTAGACTTCGGTGCCCCCCTCCCCAAGATCTCTCTGTGTCCTACATTCATTCTCCCAGAATTTTAGGACCCAGCATCCGAGGGACCAGCATCTGAGGGACCAGAGTGGTCCTCTGGTGCTCTCTGGGTATTGGGAGCTCACTCGCTCCCAGGAGACTTATTTCTGGGTTGAGTGTTCTAGAAACATATTTAGTGTCAGGGCAGAAAAGGGGTTCTTTGCTGGAGGCCACTGGACCTTGGTGGGGACAGGGATCCATATGAGAATGTGGTGAAAAAAATGTACTCATGGGACCACACTCTGCTCCGCTGGGGGGCAAGAGTGGCTCATAGATGCCCAAGGTCCTCCAGGGACCATGGGTTAGCCCTCCCTCTGGGCAAACCCTCAGCAGGGAGGCCAACCCCGACCTGCCCTGTGGCCCCAGGTCGCCTCCGTGGAGGTGGACGCCGTCCACAAGCACTATCTGACCCTCCTCTCCTACGTGGGCTGCGTCATCTCCGCCCTGGCCTGCATCCTCACCATGGCTGCCTACCTCTGCTCCAGGTAGGGCCTGGGGCTGGGAGGGAAAGGGGAGGGGACAGCCTCCATGCCCGGCCCTGAGCTAGGACCCCACAATCAGGGAGACCCACCCTGGAGACTGGCCTGACTGACCCTGACATGTGTGTGTGTGTGGTTTGTGGGAGCCCTGGGAGGTTCGGTCAGCAGACCTTTCTCCTCAGATCTGTGATGTTTGGATAACATCGCACTGACAGTTTATATTAGCTGCCAATATTTAAAATTGGGCAAGTTGACATAAGAATCTAGATTCCTGTCTTTGAAGAACCAGATATGATTCCACTGGGGGCATATAGTAATATGATGATGCTGGTGATCATAATGGTGAACAATTACATCAAGCTTCCCACATGCCACACCCTGTTCTTTTTTTTTTAGCATATAGAATACATTCCTTTATTTTAAACATCCCATTGTTTTCCTCTATTTTAAATGCATTTCAATACTTTATTTGCTTAAAGGCTACTCAAAGATTTGCAATTTTTTTTAGTGCAATTTTTTCTTTTTTAAAGAAAATTTATTTATTTTAATTGGAGGCTAATTACTTTACAGTATTGTAGTGGGTTTTGCCATACATTGACATGAACCAGCCATGGGCACACCCTGTTCTAAGTGCTTTATAGACGTGAACTGGGTTCATCCTCACAAGGGTCCTATGAAAGAGTGCTCAGAGAGGGTAAGAGACCTGACCGAGATCACACAGCATGGAAGTGGCGGAAGCAGGCTTGAACAGAAGCAGACAGGCTCCCGGCCCACAGGCCCCAGTTACTGAGCTCTCTGGCAGTGGCCTCTGTGGACAGGCAGAGCCTCCAGCGTTCTCCCCAGCCCCCATCCCCTGGTGTCTGTTTTGAGGCCCGGCCTCCTAGCTCCATGAACCTGTCTCCCTAGTCATTTGGGTGCCTGAGAAGAGGTCACCTTTGGCAGAGTGAAGAATGTCACCCCCACCCTCAGACAGGCTTGTGTGTGGGGCCTGGATTGTCAGCGCTGGGCTTTGCCTAAACTGAATCTACCTGCAGCTGGGGCCTGGAGCCACTGGGGCAGACGGGAAACAGCCTTAGCTCTGGAGTGACACTTGGAGCGTGCTCACTGTCCTCGTGGGGAGGAGGGGAGGAGGAGCCGTGTGCAGGACCATCACAGACACACACGTGGTGGGCTGCAGTCGGTGACGGAGAGAGACGGCTGGCAGGCTTAGTGGAGGGCCAGGAGTGGGGGCACAAGCCCCCCAGCCCACTGATCACAAAAGTGCCCCAGGACACAGAGATGGGAACCCTTCGGGACTGAGCATCTTATCTGTGCCGGGTGCTTTATATCAGTGTAACCCTCACCCCACCCTTGAGGGGGGCCAGTTCTCCCACTTCACAGATGAGTAAACTGGGGGTGAGGGGGGTGGGGCCAACCAATAGTGGTGCCTTGTGTTAGGGGCAGGGCAGGCATGGAAATCCAGGATGGCAGATGTTCTTCTGCGCCCTCTGGGACAGGCAGTGGATGGTGCCAGGCAGGGCACACTGGGGGCGGAAAGGCTGATGGTGCCGCGGACCACATAGTATCTTGGGATGGGGGCAGGGCATGCACACACAGGCTTGCAGACTCAAGGACCCTGGCACACACAGCCTGTGCTCACAGATGTACAGTTGTGCAGACAGACACAGACATGGAACATGGGTGGCATGGATTCTCCAAAACAGCAAAAATTCCAGTCTTTCCCTTCTGACTTTGGGAGCATCTGGTTGATGGTCGTGTCTGTGTTGATTGGAGCATCCGTGCCTAGCTGAGACTGCTGTTAAATGCACACACGGTGCCCAAGCCTGTGGGTGCTGTGTACAGGGTAGATGCAGAGGGACAGGTGGGCAAGAGCCTGGCTGCAGCCACAAGAGTAGGATAGGAAGAGAGAGAGAGAGAGAGTGTGTGTGTGTGTGTGTGTGTAGTCTGGGAAGACTGCCTGGAGGAGGAGGGGTGTGTGGGGCCTCCCTCCCACCTCCCCCACCTCCCTTCCACCTCCCTGCCTTCTCACACTGGCTGCCAGAGTGACCCTGTCTGCCCACCCCCGACCTGTGCAGGAGGAAATCTAGGGATTACACCATCAAGGTTCACATGAACCTGCTGCTGGCCATCTTCCTGCTGGACGTGAGCTTCCTGCTTAGCGAGCCAGTGGCCTTGTCAGGCTCCGAGGCTGCCTGCCGTGCCAGCGCCATCTTCCTGCACTTCTCTCTGCTCGCCTGCCTCTCCTGGATGGGCCTCGAGGGCTACAACCTCTACCGACTTGTGGTCGAGGTCTTCGGCACCTATGTTCCAGGCTACCTGCTCAAGCTAAGCATCGTGGGCTGGGGTAAGTTAGTTGCGGGGGGGGTGGTTTGTGGGTTCCCCCCAGACCTGCCTCTTCCTCTTGGCTTTTGACAAAAGGTGGGCACTTCAGTCTACTTCTCCACCTACCCTTCTGATTATTCCCTCACTGCTTTCCTTCACTCACCCATCCTCAGGGTTTCTTTACCTTGGCTGGATCAAGGTCCTCTTTAGGAGGATGAGGTGATGAGCCCTGTCTCCAATAAAAGCTTACATATTCTCTTCATCTCTGTTTTACAAGTGGGGTTTGCAGACAGAGCCACCATGTACAGATGTGCAGGTTGTGCACTGCTCAAAGGCACCCAGTTGTGGATGCGTGGGGCTATAATCCAGTCCTCACATAATTCGCCTAGGCTGGTGGTGGCCCAGTCTGTGGACCCCGATGAACCTCAGATAACAGGTTCCCAATGGCTCTGGCATTTGTTCTTAGCCAATAGCAACCCAAGTCACCTATGGCCTGACCTCTCTTTTGTCAGACCTGAGGCCTAAGGGCACACACCACAAGTCCTTTTGATCACTGCGTGGGCCTATCAACCTCCACATGACCCTGATCCTAACTTGCTGCTGCTCCCATATTTTTCATTTGGTTCCTTCTTGGTTCATATCATTGATTTATATGAAATTCCCTCAGAATTGGCTGTTTGTCAAAATCCAGGTGTTTAATGGTGGGCAACCCCTTCCAGGGAGCTCTCAGTCTCCACCTCATGGACAGAGTCAAGGCCCAGAACAGACATCCCTTTGGGGCATAACTCTAGATGTCCCCCATTGAGCTGTCCTCCACCCCACCAATGTCTGCTTCTCCCATTTCTCCTGTGACATCCAGCCCCCCAGCAGGGACCTGCTGGCTCTTAGCCAGGGCCTCCCAGGATGCTGAGGGGGCAGGGGTTACGTTAGGGGAGATAGGCCCCCCTTTGGGAAACCAGGAACTTCCTTCATAGCTCAGTTGGTAAAAAATCTGCCTGCAATGCAGAAGACCCAGGTTCAACCCCTGGGCCAGGAAGATCCCCTGGAGAAGGAAATGGCAATCCACTCCAGTATCCTTGCCTAGAGAATCCCATAGACAGAGGAGCCTGGTGGGCTACAGTCCATGGGGTCGCAAGAGTTGGACACGACTTGGGAAGCCAGAACTGGAATAGAGAAGGGAGGGTCCGAGCTTGGAGGACTTGCCCCAGGTGGAGCTGGCTGGGCTCTGGGAGCACGGGTCCTGGAGGGAACGTGAGAGGAGGCGGGCTCACCAGAGGGAAGGGGAGGGCAGACCTGGGAAGGTGGGAGACGGAGCTCCCTGCTTTACTGCCCACAGGCTTCCCCGTTTTCCTGGTGATGCTGGTGGCACTGGTGGACGTGAACAACTATGGTCACATCATCCTTGCGGTGCACAAGACCCCTGAGAGTGTCATCTACCCTTCCATGTGAGTGGCCTGTGCAGTGGAGGCAGGAGTGTGGGCCTCCTGGTGCAGAAGTTAGAGCAGCCTGGGCCCAGGTCACACTTACCAGGAGACTCTTGGGTGCCGGGTGCTGGAGGTACTGGCCTGGCCTTGGCTGGAGCTCTGGGCTAAGGCTGATGCTTCTCTCAGGGAGGGTGAGAACAGGCCTGGATCTGCCACTCACTTGCCAGATAACCTTGCACAGGTCCTGGCCCTTCTCTGGGCCTCAATTTCCCCATGTGTGTGTAGGAGTCTGGGCTGGAGCAGATGAACCTTTAGCATGTTCCTTTGCTGCACACTTCTATCTCCCTCCCCATGGAAAGATAGAAAGACTGAGTCCCAGAGAAGGCAGGGATCCACACCACCCTGCTCAAAGGTACCCAACCAGGAGATGAATGGGGCTGAAATCCAGTCCTACATTCAGCTAATTCACCCAGGCTGGTGGTGGCCTGGCCTGTGAGTCTCTCTGAACCTAGAGTAGAATCCAGAGCTCTTGAGCCCTAGGCTAGGAAGGAATCCTTTCCATTCCTTCAGTGTTTTAAAAATTTCAGTTTTTTGCACCATAATCTTGTGATTTTTGCCTTACTTTATATCATCTGTATTATTTATTGCTTAACTTTTTTCTTTAAATCTTCTGGCTTGTTAAATGTATTTTTTTTAAGTTATATTACACATAAATGGGAAATAAGCATTACTTGTCATAAACAGTGGATAGTCATGAAAGCAAAACCAGGAACAAGAAAACCCTGCTACTAAATTCTTGATGAAAGCAGTGAGCCTAAGTCTGGCACTTTTTGAAAAGGGAGACTAGCAAGTGTTAAAAGTGTTAAAAACTTATTGGCACCAAACTGAGCCTTGCTCTTGACTATAGAGAAGGAATATAGGATAGTTGAAAGAAGAGTGACTTTTTGGCCCTTGGATCAGTGGTGTCTAAAGTAACTGCCCTGTAACGGGCTCACCATGGTGCTTGCCCACGGCTCAGGAAGCACCATGTGAGCCCAGCTTTGCCCTGAGCCTTTGTATGCTTGCTCACAGGTGCTGGATCCGGGACTCCTTGATCAGCCATGTCACCAACTTGGGCCTATTCAGCCTGGTGTTTCTGTTCAACACAGCCATGCTGGGCACCATGGTGGTGCAGATCCTGCGGCTGCGCCCACACGCCCAAAAGTGGCCCCACGTGCTGACCCTGCTGGGCCTCAGTCTGGTCCTCGGCCTGCCCTGGGCCGTGGTCTTCTTCTCCTTTGCTTCTGGCACCTTCCAGCTCGTTGTCCTCTACTTCTTCAGCATCATCACCTCCTTCCAAGGTAGGTGTGGAGAAGACCCCAGACCCTGGCCCAGGAAGGGTGCCCAGGCCTGGAGAACAGGCCACGGATGAGATGACCCAGACGACCTGAAGCCTCCCCCTCTCTGGGCCTCAACCTTCCTGTTCGTAAAGTGGGGGCCTCTGGGCCACAGTGAATAAGTCTCTGTTTGTACAATAGGTACTGACGAGTACCTACTCTGTGTAGATTCTGTGTTAAGCCCTGGTCCTCCAGTTGTGAACTAGCCGGGCAAGAGCCGTGCTTCGCAGAGCTCATCTCTAGTGGGGAAGACCAAGTGTGGCCCTGAAGACCAAGGGCCACAGGCATCAAAGGGCATCTGGGAGAGGAAGGAAGCAATAGTGGGCAAGGTGATAGACAGTCTGAGCCTGCTGGGGGACACTCAGGGAACGGAAGGCCCTCCGTTTAGGAGACATCCAAAGATGACAGAAGGATCCAGCCATGGATCCAGGGTGCCCTCCACTTCGCCTCCCTCATGCCCCACCCCCGTTGCACGGGGACCCCATGGAGGCCTCGCCTTCCCTGTTATCCTGCCCAAGTCCTCCTACCCAGCATGGTGAAAAACAAAGGTGGATCTCTCTACCCATGGAGAGATCAAGGGTCCCATTACTCCAAGGGTGTTTCTTGGACCAGCAGCATCAGGAGCTTATTGCAGACGCCGCCTCTAGGCCGCCCCAGACCTGCCGAGTCAGAGTCCTCCTTGTTGCAGATGCCCAGGTGCACCTTACAGGCTGAGGAGACCTGGTCTAGGACTGGAGTGCTCCAGGCAGAGGGAGAAGCATGAGCAAAGGTCCTGAGGCTAGAAGTAGGGTGTGTGTTGGAGGAACCCGGAGGAGGAGCTGCGTAAGGGGTAGTGAGCTTGGGGGGAGATGGGGAGGAGGTGAGGGGGGAGGAGCAGAGGGGCTGGATCGTGGGGGCCTGGCTTGATGCCATGAGGGTCTGTTCCTGATCTACCTGCACCCTGCTTCCCCCACACCCCCAACATCACACACACACACCTACCTTTGTTTTTCACCATGTTGGGTAGGGAGGAAGGCTTGGGCAGGAAAACAGGGAAAGCAAGGTGGTTCCAGAGCCTAACCACTACTGCTGGACTCCTGGCTCAGCCAAGCCCCTTATCTCCCCTGGGCCTCAGTCTCCCTGTTTGTAAAACAGAATGATAATAACGAGGCCTGGTCTCAAGGGACATGGAGAGAATAAAGTGAGATGATACATAGAGCGTTGTCCAGTGCCTGGCGCAGAGTTGGTACCCCTGGGATCGAGTCAGTGTGGGGAGCCTGTGAGGGGGGTGTGGGCAGACATGGGTCAAAATGGAAGGGAGTGGTGTTGGGGGGGCTGCCCCCAGCCTCTGAGCCCTGTACCCCCTTGCCGCCCACAGGCTTCCTCATTTTCCTCTGGTACTGGTCCATGCGCCTGCAGGCCCGGGGTGGGCCTTCCCCTTTGAAGAGCAACTCGGACAGCGCCAGGCTCCCCATCAGCTCGGGCAGCACCTCGTCCAGCCGCATCTAGGCCGCCAGCGCCCCCCGCCGGTGTGAAGAAGCAGAGTCACCTGTCTCTCTTCACTGCTGCCTGCGGCCCCTGCAGCCCGGCCCGGCCCTGGGTGGGCCAGCTGAAGACTAGAGAAGGCCCGAGGACCATGGAGGGATGGGGCTGTTGCCATGGCAGCCAGAAATTCCCAGGCTGGGCCTTCTGACTCTTTGCCTCTTGGGTCCATCTCAGGGGGCCCAGGAGTGGAACTGAAGGCTGGTCTTAATGCACCACCACTGGACCAGCCCTTGTAGCTGGGGGTTGGGAGTCTGCAGGACTTGAACCTTGGAGGCTGGCGGCACCCTTGGTCCTGGGCTCCCGCCCAGGACAGAAATGTGCCATGGCTGCTCTGTCTCTGGTGATCACCACAAGGGTACTCTGTAGCCCCGATTATTTTAACCTAAGAATGGCAGGCAGGGAAAATGGGTTGAGGCAGAGCTTTGAGCCAGACCCCTGGAGGAGCACAGCTTCCTACCTCTGAGCCCAGGGCCCTCCCCCTTTGTCAGCCTCCCCAGCCTTCCCTCTCCCTTTCCTGCTCCTCCCTTCCTCTCCTAGGACCTCCCTAGCCTTCCACTCACAGCCCCAGGGTCCCTGATTCCAACCCTGGACTTTGGGCAGTGGTTCCCAAGAGCCGCCTGGTGCCTGCTGTAAACCTTTCTTTACTGTGTGGGCCTTTGACTGCCCCTGACTCAGGCTTAATAGAAACATTTCTGGGCTGGGCTAGGTCCATCTTTCCATCTGGGCCTCTCCAATGCTGCATCACCCTTGCTCACCACTGCCAAGCCCACACCTCACAGGGGCCCACAGCTTCTCCTGAAGCCCTCTTGCTTCACCAACTATGGGACATAGCAGTCCAAAATCGTTTCCACTGCAGCCCTGCAAAGACTGAGACTCCTCCCCTGATATTGCTGGTAGAGCCTGACGTGCCCCTTAGCGCCCCCTGCAGGCAGTTTTTATCACACCACAGCCAGTCACAGTTAATTCTGCTGGACACGAACGGCCAGACCTGGTCGTTCCCCTCTGCGAGTTCTCAGTCTAGTGTGGAAACCATGCACAACCACGAGAACTCTTAGAGCTGCAGGCACAGGGTTGGGGGAACCATCACTCCTAGCTGGGATTCCAGGAAGACTTCCTGCAGGAGAGCAACATTTGATCTGGCTCTCAGACTTAAAGATGGGGAGGATTTCCTTCGTAATTACCAGTGCATTTGTCTTTTGATGTTAAAAAGAAGTTTGTGTTCATCGTAGAGAATTTGGAAGCTGTAGAAGGGTACACAGAAGAAAATAAAAGTTGTTTTCACCTAACCAACAAATGCAAACATTTGGGGGGGGGAGCGTTTCCTCCTGAACTTTGCTCTGTGCTTCTGTTAAGAGTCACCAATGGGGGTGGGGCAGGGGGCACAACGGAGAAAGACGAACAAGAGAAGACGGCCATGTATAAAAGAAATCTACTGGGAATGTTATCAGGGCAAGGGGCTGGAGAAATGGCAACTGGGTGTCAGCACTGGGGAGGCAGTGGCAAGTGGTGGGGTCAGTGGGGGACTGAAGGTTGCAAGCCTCACGCTGAGGGTGCAGTTGCTCCTCAGCTCGAGCCGATCACCATCTTGCAGGAATGAGGGCCTGTGTAGTCAGACCCCACCTGCCTTTTACAAGGAGAAATCCAGATTGTGCTGGTGTAAAATCCCCTGATTTAAAAAACTTGACTAGGGACTTCCCTGGTGGTCCAGTGGCTAAGACCCCACACTCCCAGTGTAGGGGGCCCGGGTTTGATCCCTGGTCAGGAAACTAGACCCCACGTGCCTCAACCAAAAAAATCCCGCATGCTGCTACTGAAGATGTCACTTGCCACAATGATCAAAGATCTCTCAACCCGCGTGCAGCAACTAAGACCTGGAGCAGCCACATAGTTAAATAAAAATAATAAATATGAAAAACACCCTTGGCTAATCCACAATATTCGCTGGTCAAAGAAATCACATTTGAGGGCTGAATGCAGCCCTTGGCTGGTCACTGGACATATGCAACCAGTTTACTGACCGGTGTGCAGTGGGTGGGCTGCAGGAATAAGCTGATTGAACCTCTTTCCCATCACTGCCTTCCACCTTGTCCCGTCAAGTCTTCCCTCTCTGTCCAGTGACACAGGTGAGGCAGGTCAAATAGCTTCTTATCCCCCTTCAGTTACCGGAAGGAGTCTTGTTTAATCATGGCTCTTTGTGTCTAAAAGCCCAATGTAGCTCCAGCCCCGGCCCGCATCTGAGCTTTCCGTCCCCACGATCTCCTCCTTCCTGTCCTGGCTGCTCCAGGAGGAACACGGACTGGGGAAAGAGACACGACCTCCAGAGATGGACAGGAAGGGGGTGAAGTGCCTTGGCAGCCAGGGATGGGCCGGCAGTGATGTGACAGGCTTGAATGTGGAATCTTTGGGGACCTGCCCAGACCCAATTCCATCAGCCCCTGCCTCTGCCTTTCTCCAAGTGGTGGGCTCCTCTTGTGCCCCAGCCCCTGAAGGCAGAGGACAGACCTCCTCGCCCACTCGGTAGTCCCGATTGCGCATCTGGGTGGGATGCAAAGAGATCAGGGCCGTCTCCCCTCAAGGGCTCTCTGGGGGTCTCTCAGACTTCCGTTACTTGACTAGACCTTAGGAAACACCTCCAGCCATCCTCAGGGAGGGCAGGAAGGCGGACCCAGCCCCTTCCCCCAGGCTGGTAGCACTCCCCTCAAACAAGTTTTCAAATATTCGCTGGTCAAAGAAATCACATTTGAGGGCTGAATGCAGCCCTTGGCTGGTCACTGGACATATGCAACCAGTTTACTGACCGGTGTGCAGTGGGTGGGCTGCAGGAATAAGCTGATTGAACCTCTTTCCCATCACTGCCTTCCACCTTGTCCCGTCAAGTCTTCCCTCTCTGTCCAGTGACACAGGTGAGGCAGGTCAAATAGCTTCTTATCCCCCTTCAGTTACCGGAAGGAGTCTTGTTTAATCATGGCTCTTTGTGTCTAAAAGCCCAATGTAGCTCCAGCCCCGGCCCGCATCTGAGCTTTCCGTCCCCACGATCTCCTCCTTCCTGTCCTGGCTGCTCCAGGAGGAACACGGACTGGGGAAAGAGACACGACCTCCAGAGATGGACAGGAAGGGGGTGAAGTGCCTTGGCAGCCAGGGATGGGCCGGCAGTGATGTGACAGGCTTGAATGTGGAATCTTTGGGGACCTGCCCAGACCCAATTCCATCAGCCCCTGCCTCTGCCTTTCTCCAAGTGGTGGGCTCCTCTTGTGCCCCAGCCCCTGAAGGCAGAGGACAGACCTCCTCGCCCACTCCGTAGTCCCGATTGCGCATCTGGGTGGGATGCAAAGAGATCAGGGCCGTCTCCCCTCAAGGACTCTCTGGGGGTCTCTCAGACTTCCGTTACTTGACTAGACCTTAGGAAACACCTCCAGCCATCCTCAGGGAGGGCAGGAAGGCGGACCCAGCCCCTTCCCCCAGGCTGGTAGCACTCCCCTCAAACAAGTTTTCCCACTTCAAAGGACTCTCTTAGCACCTAATGTCTGTCTCCGGGGCCAGCTCAGGTAGTGGGGACCAGGTTTCTGGTCGGGTCTCATCCTCTCCTGACAGCCCTGAACGGGCCATCCGACAGCTCCGTGGTACTCCTCAACCCACACGGTTCTTACCACGCACATCTCCGGGCGGTGGGACTGTGGACAGTGGGACCACTGGTCCCACCAGGCTTGTCTCCCCCTTGGCGTGGGAGATGGACTGCGAGCCTCCAAACCTGGAGCCATTTGGGCAAGCTGAGCGTGGGAGATGGCTGGAGGGGGAGGTTTTCCTGGGACTCCCCAGGGCTCTAAGTGGCTCCAGGCTAAGCTCCAGCCCCATGGGGCCTAGGAGAGGTGGCCGCTGCTCTGGCTCTGCCGGACCCTCGCTCGTCACTTGGCCAGTCCCCGGTCCTGTCTTCCCAGATGGGCAGCACACTCTGGGTTCCGGTCTGCAGGACTCAGGCTCTCCTTTACAAAAAGGCACCCGGGAGTCCCTCTGGGAGCCCCAGGTGCCAGGCGGGTCTCCAGGGGTGGAACCTAGCGGTCATGGTTCACAGAGCCCTTGCCCTGACCTGCGGCTGGGAGGGAGGAGGCAGCCAGCCAGGTGGAGGTGGGCGGAGGGGCAGGCCAGTGGCCCCCATTCACCCTCCCAGCCTTCCCTGCAGAGGAAGCACCTGCGGTCCTGCCAGATTCCCACCTGCCTGCTGTATGGCCCCGACCCTCCCAGGGCCCAGAGGGCCTAGCAGGAGGCTGAGTCCTGTCTGGACACTGTGTGGGAGGAAGAGGAAAGAGAGGCCAGCCAGGACTGGGCGGGCCTACCCATCTCTCTAGTCCTCCCCGTGCCTCGTAAGAAACAGAGGTTAGCTCACGCAAGCTCAGGCAGCCGGAAGTAGCCAGGACAGACGTCAGCCCGGCTCTGACCAAGCCCCAGGGCCCTCGCTCACGTCTCTCCTGTTATTCCATCTGCTGGGAAGGGGAGGGGAGTGGTCCCAGAGGCCTCCAGGCCTGGCTCCTCCTCTCCTCCCAGGACGCTAGCAGACCTGGGCTTGAGCCTTGGTCTTGTTCGGAGGAGGGAGAGTGAACGCTCTCCCCATCTTCATCTTCGTCCCTACAGCCGGGTTGCGTGCCTGGCGTGTGACGGGTCTCCTCACACACCCGACACCCTAGGAGGCATTGCTGCGTTGCCGTGTCTGTCTTGGTGGTTTAGTCGCTCAGTCGTGCCTGACTCTTGCGACCCCATGGACTGTAGCCCACCAGGCTCCTCTGTCTGTGGGATTTTCCAGGCAAGAATACTGGACTGGGTTTCCATTTCCTCCTCCAGGAGATCTTCCCAACCCAGGGATCGAACCCTGGTCTCCTGAGCTGCAGGCCATCTCCCTACAATGCAGGCGAATTCTTTACCCACTGGGCCACCTGGTGTCTGTTTTACAAAGTGGGGGTATTGAGGCTCAGAGAGGCCCCTCGTTTGTGAAAGGAGGATCTGAGAAAAGAATTCTTGGTTCCAAAGCCCAGGCTCATCATCACTCCCCAAGAGCCTGCTCAGAGCTTCTGTGGCCCTGGGTCCCCACACCCACCCAGATAAGACCCCAGGAGCAGTGTCCCTGGGGTGGGTTCAGCAGCTCTCAGGGAGTCTTGGCCCCTCTGCAGGTGGTCATGGGGCGGGGTGAGGCTAGGAACACTGCCCAGTTCCCCACACTCACCTTTCACAACTTAACCGACGGTGCCATGGCACAGGAAGGGTGAGAAAGAGGCCACAGGAAGTGGTGACGCTGCGGGATGGGGGCCAGGGAGGGCCGGCTCAGCAGAGCCTGGGACCAGAAGGACACACAGCTGCAGGGCTCTGGCCGGCGTGGACGAGGCTGGCCCAGGATGGTGGCGCCCAGGGCCCTGGGGGTCCTGCTACTCCTGCATCTGGCCCCAGGTGAGCAGTGGGCTCCTCACCCCCTCCTGCCAAGCCTGGGAGAGCCAGGGTCGGGGATGGAGAGGGGTGGGGAGGGGACATGTCCGGAGCGTGTCCTCTGGGAGCCCACCCTGACAGCCGCCTCACCTCCTCTGACCTCTGGGTCAGTTTTACTGTCCTGATAAACTTGGGTCAGCCTTCATCTTGGGTCCCCTTGGCTTCTCCCCACAGCGCCCTGGAGATGGGAGGGGGCCGTGGAGGGTGCTCCCCACCCCTACACCTTAGGCTGTGCTCTCTGACAGTCATGGCTCCAGGACATGGGGTGAGGGGTTGGGACAAGCCCTTCTCCACTGCCTCTGAGTTCCTGGGAAAGGAGTCTGGGACCCTCTGGAGGCTGAGGCCAGACACGGCCTGCACTGCCCTCCCACCACCACCCCCAACCCCTTCCCCCAGCCACACTGGCTCCCCTTCCCTGACCCCACAATAGCTCCACGGTACCCAGTCACCCAGTCTGAGAATTAGACTTTCCATCCCTTCACTCTTGGCCTTTTTTTTTAAAAAAAAATTTTTTTTTAAAATGGGCCACATTAAAAAACTCTGTGGAGAGTGTGACAACATAGCGCCTGTTTTTTATGTTTTGCTTTTTTGACCTCGAGATGTGGAGGATCTTAGTCCCCAACCAGGGATCAAACCCACACCCCCCACACTGGAAGGCAAAGTCTTAACCACTGGTCCACCAGGGAAGCCCTCACTCCTGGTCTGGCACACACCCACACAGCGGCTGTCCAGAGGCAGCCTGTGGGTGCCAGGCTGTGCCCTTGCTGTCCTCTTTCCTGGGAAGGTGGGCCCCCACCCCTGGCCCACCTGGCCAGCTCTCCTGGCTGCTCT